TTTCATCTAAATTAATTTTCTTAACTAGTTATTTACTATTATACTTCCTTGCATTAGGATTACCATGACTTTTTGTCCTTAATGGCATCAGCAGGATTTTTTATAGCTCTCCCACTTTCCCCCCCTCAGTTGAAAACATGGAGGTAAGAAAGGAAGGAGTGGCCAAATCGGCATTAGAAGTGAAGCACTGCTCCGAAGCTTCGGTCACCAGATGGGCTGTTTTTTGTTTACATTCAGAAGCTAGCTTGACAGCGCTCTGATAGTATTTCGACACACGACAGTTCCATACAAATCAAAAAACGGGACACTTCCGCATAAAATAAACATTCCCTAGTATGATTGATAATAGCAATCATACTAGGACATATTTAGTGACATTTATGCAAAAATGATATCTTGGTTATTTTTCGATAACTAACAATTTTGATTATGAATTTGTTTTATAAAATTCTAAGCTGTTGAACTACAGAAATATAGATTTTAGCAAAAAAGTTATGCTTAAAGAATGAAAAATACCTCAAAATACCTTTACAATTGCATTCATTTTTTGATACCCTTAACCCTTTGTTTGCCACTACATGGAACACCCAAATTGAATCGCTTCTGAAACCTTTAAATTCAAGCGTAAATAGATAAAAATGCCTTTATAATATACTTTGAACTTTTCTTTTTAAACAGTAGACAGCAGCATATCACAAGGAGACACAGAATTTTCATTTATTATGTGTTATTAAAATCCACTTTTTTCAAGCAATTTTCTCTATTTTTTTAATGATATAAAAAATTTTATTTGGGCAAAAAAATTAGGCATAATTTTCCTGGCCGTACTCCAAATTATTTGTTCTATATTTTTTTTTAATGTTTCATGCAAAAACCATACGCCGAATCATTGAATATAACCAGGTGTTCTATTATCGGGAACACTGCGCCTTTAGCGATCTCATGCTGTTACGAATCATCTGTGCTTAGGAGAGAACATCCGTTGTTTACGTTTTCTGTTTCCGCTGTTTTTTTTTGGGGGGGGGAATGAATTCAAACAAAAGCAGTATTTAGGGGTGAGTTGTGTTATGAAAGCCCTAATATTGGCATCTCGAATTTCTTGGCATTTGTTTTTAGGCGGGAGTTTTATTAATAGCTTGACTCATCTTTACTTAGACCTGCGCGAATTTTTTGCTGTTGCATTTTAGTTTCATTCCTGTTTTTCAATAATTGTGTAGATATTTTTCGTGTATATATATATTATAGGCTTATTTTTCTTTATTGTTAATATTAATCGTAGTTAATTTTTTTATTATTAATTTTTCATAAATGGCACGGAGAGGTCCAACTCTTTCCGAAAATTTGTGGCTGATCTTTACAATATGGTAACTGGTAGTTTGGCGACATTTTGGAGGCGATAAAGGTTACTACCTGGGACTTTGGTAATAATGTGAGCAGTACTCAGTTCCGATTACGTATTTTGTGTGAGGGAAATGAGAGATCATGGGATATGTCATGTGATATTAATGGACGAATTACGGTTCTTTAATCGGAAAAGGGGGAAATACGGGGAAAAAATCTGGAAATTTTTTATTTGGCTTTATTCTGTGTTGTGTGAAACAGTGTTCGTTTATTTTTGGATCCCATGGCCCTAACTAAAGTGAATTCGAAATGGGTATTTAGTGGGATTGAAAGGCGTAGTAATAAGTGTTTCTTTAAGGTTGTGTGAGATAGAAGGAAAGATGTTTTATTAAGTTATTTATTTTACCTGGTACCTTGGTGTGAATTATAAGTATGATTTTAAAGATCCTGAAACAGAAATAAGAAAAGTTTATCGGACACGTAATCAGCATTCTGAAGAAGAATAGGTAAGTTAGTATTTTTAATTATTTGAGGATATTATTTTTATGCATTGTTCTAAATATAAGGTGGAAGTAAAGTAATTTGCGTAAACGTGCATGGAAATAATTTAAATATTTGACACTAAGTATTTGTAACCATTTGTAATGAAGTAAAGGTATGAATTAGTGACGTCTGTAATATAATAGATAATGTAGAGGTAAAAGTTTTTGGATATTTTATTTATTTTATACAGGGAAATGTTCATATTTGGAAAGGGTATGTACTTTTTCGCGATCAGGTAATTTCATATATGTTTTTTTTACCGGGTTTAAAGATTCAGAAAATTGTCATGTATTTTCGTGAAATTTTTCTAATTTATGAGAAAAAAGCAGTGTACATGGATATAGTGAAGAGTGTGCGCAATGCCATTTTTGTGTAATTCTGGGATGTTTTTTTAAGTAAAAATAAGTCGGCGTGTACATGGTTTATGTGCATGTGTTATTTTGAAAAATGCGTAAGGAGTATGGTATTGTGCACTTTTCCCCAATTTTGCAGTGAATATTTGTCATGATTAAGCAGTTTTGTTAGATAAAATTTCTAGCATAAGTGTAATTCGGCTAGTAGATTGTTGGAAGAAGTGTTCAGTAGATAAAAAGAAAAGAAACATGTCTTTACTTCGTGAAGACAAAATGGCGGCAGGAAAAAAAAAAACAGAGGGTTGCTGTAGGAGAGTTGGTCACCAAATTTTTGCCAAAAAAACGCCAAGTTACCATAATGTAAAGATCAACCAAATTTGTAAATATTTTTGTATATAGGACTTGTGTATATAGATGTTTATCTCATTTATCCGTATATATTCAAGAATATTGTGTATATCCAGGAAACCACGTATACAGCCATAACACAGAGTTTTTTCATTCTTATACAAACGCTTCTACTCATTTTCATGCTTCACTGCAATGCTCGCTTAGTCGCACTTTTAAAAGCTCTGGCGGCGCAGTGTTCCACCTCATGGAACACCCACAGAATTAAAACGGTAAGTGCAATTTTTACAAAATTTTACCTGTATACTCCTTTAGGACTAAATAGACTGCATACAACTTTTTCTGTTGAAATTCCAACGTTAACATAGTGCGCCACAAAGGCTTAATACAGTAGTCGCTCCTTTTATTTTATGATCCTAACGCCAATATGTTTTAAATAAAATAAATTTTTTTCACATCCACACATTATTGTAACATGTACTTTTTAAAATTAGTGTAAATTACTTTACTCAAAAAATATAGTGAATGCACAGGAATTAAAGATTTCCAAATGCCGGAAATGAAAAATATGAAATATGTATGGGTATTTATGCATATGCTTCCAAAAAGTATGTATCTGCCTTTAACAAAATACGTAAATATTCATTAAATTATTCATAAATGTATTTGAAATGAAGCCTTTATTCATTCATAACTGTGAAGAAATCTAATTATTCTTAAGAAAGTAATAAAGAAGAGTTTTGGAATATGTATTGATGAAATTAAGGATAAAAAAATATAATAAGTATAATTAAAAGAATTATTCCCCTTATATTTTATAATCAATTACAAGTTTTAAATAATATTTTTAAAAAAATCCTTATTTTATTCCCTTTCAGAAACATTCAGAGACAGTTAAGTACTATTTAAAGTATTTCGCTATTAAATTAAAAGGTGCTCTAATTTAAAATGGATCGAATAGAGCATTAATTATAAATAGACTTATAGTTTTCGATTTAAAAGATGCCTCAGAAGCTAAAAAATCATGTCATATACGAGAAAGTATTTTAGGAAGAAGTTCTATAAATAGAAAAGAAATAATGCATAATTTTAATAATACAATAAACTTTGATCTTAATTTTTGCAATCCTTAACAGAATCAAATTGAATTATCTTAATTTTTTTCTAATGTAATTAACGAAAACTTGTGAAAATATTTCAAATTAAACCATTCGGAGCAAACTGTTCTGTGAAAAGTATAGCATTTAATTCTGTTCAAAATGAAATGTTGTTTAAAAATGTATTCTTTTCATATACTTAGGACTCTGAAATATTGTACAAAAAGAAAATATACACATTTATATGCATATTTACGACGTAATTACAAAATATTTACATCCGATCATGTCAAAACCCATTGATCTCAATGGTAAATTATGCAATGTTTTGGTCACCAAAGAAGGGATCACCAGTGCTTCAAAGCAGGGTATGGGAAAACCGGTCTAGGGCCACTCCATATAACTTCCTACCTCCATGGTTGAAAACCCCCATTATAAAACTTTCTTTACGTACGGAAATTTCTTTTGTTATGCAGTAGTTCAATGCGCAAATAATATGTACTTAAAGCAATATATCAACAGAAAAAGCCAATCGACAGAAATATCTAAGATAACACGAGGTATCAAAAAATGATTACTTTTATATATATATACAAGTAGTTGTACAAATATGAGAGTAAGTAACAATGAAGGGAGGTAACTAAAAATTGCCCTATGTACCTGCAGTAAAATTAGAGACAAATGATAATGCATATGAAAACAATATACACTAAAATACAGATTATTGTTTTTTGAAATATATTTCTGAGTAATTAAAGCTTTTGCAATAATTACAAACTGCAGCAATGTTATCACATTAACTCTGCATCTTCTTTCAGCTAATTAAAACTGTCAACATTTTCTTCAGCTGAGCATTTTACCATCAACAAATGTTCTCTCAAATAGATCTATCTGTTGGGGCAACTTGCAAATCTTAAAAAGGGCATATAAATTTGAGTAGAAATAAAAACAAGGCCATTCAATTGTCTTTAATTAAGACATAGATTAATATACATTAATGACCTATGTATTTAATACTAAGATGATGTTTGAAACCACATTGAAACATGAGCAATCATTAATTTGAATAACTTGGTCAAAGAAAAAGAAACATTAAAGAATAGTCAAGAAAAACCCTGCTAATTATTAATATAATTAATAATTAAGCTATCTTAATTTATTTAATAATAGCACTACATTAATCAATATTCGTTCCGCTACATAAAATATATGTCATGCTTAAGATTATTAATAACTTGGGAGATAACAATAAAATCTATTTTTTATGACACGCAGAAAGAAAAAAATTAAGTGATACAAATGAAGCTCATTAACATACCTCGCTTTTCACAGTAACAGCAAATTTGAAAAAGACTTCATTCACGTTCTCCTCACACTTTGGTCTTTTCAATGCTATTATCAGTCCTTCAGCAGGTTCATCACAAGCTTTCCGCTTCAAGCGCAAAACAGCCGCCATTCTTAATTTTCGCCGAAAACAGAAATACTATCACACTTACCTCCAAAGAATCTCTTGCTTACCTCATACAACATATATGCGAGCGGAATTGGATAGAAACCATGTTGCCAGAATTCCGCATTTGGGTTTTCATCCGCAAAGAATCCGTTGGCGCCGTTGCAGTTTTACTCGCCAAGTTTGATCGACGTCGAGAATGATCGGCGTACGGTTAAGGCTCCTATATACCAGGCTGAATCATCAGGCATTCGCGCTCCCAAGTGGGAGATTTAATGGCGGCTGTGTAGTTACGGTGCAACAATTTTTGTGTTTCTTTTGTGTAAAATGGGCGGATGTACAGCTGTTAATTGTTCAAATCATTCACGGAAAAGTCATACATTGGTAAAATTTCGTAAAAATGAAGAAAGAAGAAATGGGTAAATAATTGCCGAAGAGACAATTGGAAACCTGGTCCAGGCGCTGAACTTTGCTTAGTAAGTATAATGTTAATTACGCCTTCATTTAGAGTTTATATCTTCTCTGATGTTTATAATGTGCAAGTAAAGTGAAATTCTTGTGTACAATAACCTGAGTATTTGCTAATTTCTGTAATAATAGCTATAATTAAATTAGTCTAGGGTTAATGTACCAGTCGCCAAACATCGCCAATGTAGATGTTTTGAATGTGGAAAAGAAATTTCTCTTCTAATATAAAGCGCGTATTTTGTTTTCCTGTGCTAATTGTGGAATTTATACTAATGTAACATGAAAAATCATTAGCATATTGAAATTTATTAAAAAATAAATAATAATTTGGAAAGTCAAGATAAAATCTGAATGTTTGCTAAAGATATATGTAACATTACACTATAGTTGCAATATCGTTGGAATGATATATAATTTTTTCCTTTATTTTATAATCACTATTGTTAAAAAGTTAGATGAGTTGTTTATGCACGGAACCCACTACTGTTTCTTGGTTAAAATAACTTCCAGAATTTTGACATTGACATCTGAAGTCAATAGAATAAATTGAATAGTGTGAGACAAAATATATATAATCTGACTTCAATAATTGCAAGGATTGTGCAAGTTTATTTATAATCACAGTATTATACAATTTGGCAATGGAGTAAAGATTTAGAAATGAATGCAGAACATTCAAATTAGTATTTTCTTGTTTCTAATATATAGAAATATAGTCATATTTTCCAGTATAAAAATTCAGTTAAGTTTTACTTAAAAGTATGGGAAAGCAGATTTGTTTCATGCATGATCTTTATAATACTGGTATGAAATGAATGAATTTTAATCTGTAAACAATTTTTTTGTTAATATTTAAATGCGCTTCTTTGGGTACATTTTTAGGCACTTGTGGATCATGTCAGACAATATGCAATAGAAAAAAGATGTCCGTGTGCATAAATTTTCCCATTGTGTTACTTCTTCCTTTTATCTAAATTTCAAGGGTAATGTCTTTTCATTTTTATATGGCATATGTTATTTCTCAGTATAAAGGCTATGTGAAAATAAATTGGTATGTGTATCTGTTTTTGAAGTGTAATGCTTAAATGAAAAGATGGTGTGTGTTTCTTCATTTTAAACAAAATTTCAAGGATAGTATTTTTCAGCGTTATATTGTATGCATTTCTCAATGTAAAGGGTAACAGGGGAAAAAAAACTGGTATGGTTATATCTGTTTTTAAGCATGATAATTTTATTTATTTCTTTAGTGATGCATATATATAGAGAGAAGGTGTTTGGTCCAACTGAAGTTATAATAAATCTAATTTTACTAGATCTCTCCCTCCCCTCAGGTGTAGAAAATTTTCAAGTGCAGAAAGTTTATTTGCAGAATTAATTCATTTCTGATAAACTTATTATCATTAATTTTTATATAACATGTTATTAAGTTACACATTTGACTACTGTGTAATAAAATTGTATTTAGGGCAAAAAATTAACTATAATTTTGCATCTGGTGACTAATATCATATGCTTCTAAGAATATTACTTTAACTTTTTCCATAATTTTTGTATTTCAGGAACATGAAACTGTTATTTTGATATACTTAAATAATAAAAGTGTGTATCTGAATCAATTAATGAATACAAATATTTTACAGTTATTTTTAGAAGATATTTGCCATATCGCTTCTAATAATTCATAAAATATGTTAAAATATAGGTAAATAATTTGGTGCAGAATTCAAATTTAGGGTTTAAAATATAGTGAATCATAAGACTAAATGATTTTTATTGTCATGATTTGCCTGGGCTTAAGAATGTACTTTTCGCCCGGTGGAAATTGTCATCAAACTGTCCCTGAACAGGCTTTTTTGTTGATAATAACTTCCAGGCTTATCAGTACCTCCTTTTGAGTGGAGGGTATGCAAATATAGTACCCAATTTAAATTACATTGTGATTGTAATAATATTGTGGTATTAAATAAGTGACTATAATTACAATTTAGATAATTGCATTGTAATTATATTACATTGTGTCTGTGAACTCTTAATTTCATTACTTTATGCAATTATGTTGTAAGTGCATAATCTAATTGCAATAATATAATCTATTCGCAATTACAAAATAATTATAAATGCAGTTACATCTTAAATAGAGGCCATTTTAATACTTTTAAATTTTCGCAAGATAACTTCCCATTAAGGTTCATTTGGAGGAAACTATGCAAATACTAAAAAAAAAGTTATGCTAAATTTACATATTTTGTACAGTACTTTCTTGTTATAATGCTGTTCAATATATCTTCAATACTTTTGTAAATTTAACGACATTCTTTGCAATCACTGTGGTGCTTTAAAAAGAAGTTTCTTAGTTATGCTTTCTAATAAGAATGGGTTTAAAATTAAGTATTTATGTATAATAACTAGCAGTTAAAAAAACTTGACTGCATGAAAATGCTGTTGCTGTGTAAAATAAAAAATAAGCTTTCTTTTATGCTTTGAAATGAATTACATTTGATTAAGTCGTCCTTTTTACAATTTAAGAATGTGGTTAACACACATTCTTAAATTGGGACAGGTTTTATCTAAATTATTAGTATAAAATATATAAACTATGAATTATTTTGTAACATAACTCAAATTACAAAATTCATTCTATATACGTTCAAAGTTATTATCTTTATGGAATAACTGTTTTTTAATTTAGGTAAAAATTGGATTTTTAGAAGTATTACAAATACAATGCAACACAAAGGTGATCTGATTGAAGAGGAAGGACTTTTTATTACGGTTTCTAGTTCGTATTTATATTACATTTGATGAAAAGCATCCAAAACAGAGAATGCTGTACTTTCTTCTTCCATATATGTTATGAAATATTTCACACATTTAAAAGAAAGTGTTTCTTCAGAATCTTGCACAATTATTTCCATATACCTCAGACTTAAATGACAACATATTTTTTTAGTATGAATTTACAGTGTTTTTATGGAAGTTTTTGTTAAAATGTCATTAAGATAAATTTATTTGCACACTCTACGCTTTAACTATTTCCCCATTTGACACTATTGAAAGTTTTTATTCATATCTTATTTATTTTAGTCTGCTAACGAAACTGAAACATCTAAAGAATAAGTTATTTTGAATATGTTTACAAAATATACGCGAAATTTTTATTTAAGTGAAAACGTCTATATACTATTCGAGAATTAATAAATTATCCGAAAAGTTTATATGCGCTGAATGCCGCGCGTCTATAAAATAAATCTTTAAAAAAACAGCAGACATTCAGCCAGCGTGTGCGATAAACGCGCCAAAATTGGCAGCGCGTTCACTCCCTCGCCAAGAGAGAAAAGTTGGTGATTCAGCCTGGTTTAGAGGAGCCTTACGTACGGTTATCAGATATTAAAACACATGGAAGTTAGCCGCAAAAACGTGGTATTTAGTGTATATAATCAAAATAATTAAAGAAAAAGTAACATAAATTCAAGTTAGAAGAGAAAACAATATATTATGCGTATTAAAGAATAAGTAACATAAATTCAAGTTAGCAGACAAAACAATATAAGAAGCATATAGAAGTGAAAATTCAAAATTAACCGATTAAACGTGAAGCAAATTTGTACTGAATTCAAGTTAGCACAGAAAACAATTTATAAAGCCTAACGGAAGTAAAATAATCTTGTAATAATGAGCTTTGTAATAATGACCCTTTTATTCCTGGCTAAAGTCCGCCTGAAATAGATCTTCAGGGGGCTTTGGTTAAATCCGCTGGATTACCAGGTTTGAATTGTTATCGCCAAAGTTGACGATGTTTACATTTACCAGATTCTTTGCGGAAGTGCTTCCCAGGATTTATCTAATCAAGAAAGAAATCGGAGGGCTCACAAAATTCTACACTTTTTACAATATTTTCTGATGGATATTTTATTAAATCGAAAATATTAGTCACATGTAAAATAGGAAACATTTTAAGTACTAGTTAAAATGCTTCCAGTTAATTTTCTTAAAGTTTTATACCCAAAATTTCTTGGGATATTACTTGAGAATTTTGGGAAATTAATGATAGGGAATGAAATGATCGCGAAATATCTAACATATTGACCCAATTTTGATTCTTCATTAACTGAGTGAGCAAGATATTCATCTTCAAATTAAATAAACAATTAGATAAATTTTCTTTGCTAACTTTGCTGTATCACTCATACGTGAGTAAGCTTAATTTGAGAAATTCCTTTTAAAGAACAATTTTTTAATCACATTTAATCGAGCGTCTGTTATGTCTATTATTAAAATCCATTTAAAACTTAATTTGGCAACACCACTTTGTTATTGACCTTAAGCATGTGTTTATGTTGAATGTATGTAAAGTTTTCAAATTTCATACCAGGAGTTATGTCTCTCAGTAAATTATTTATTCATCCAAATTTCTCAGTTATTCATAATTTTCATCAGGTGTATGTGCGGAGTAATAGCCAGCTTGTAATAAAGTTGTCAAGTGCAGTTAAAGTAAGTGTAAATATTATTGCCGGTGAATAAGTTTTAGAGTGATTTTAGGATTCTTTCCCCTACTCAAGTAATTTTATTCTATTTTTTTACTAGTTTCGTAATTATGAAAAGTTCATTTATGTAAAGAACGAATTTCAATTCACTTTGTCAGGATTCAGAAATTTTAAATTTTCACATAATTGAAGCAAAAGCATTTCATATCGTGTATTATTATTTATTTAAATCCCTTCCCAGCTAGAGCTCAATTCCTGATCGAACAAGTAACAAACCAGTTGTATAGATTATGTTTTTTATGTGTGTATGTGAGACTCTTCACATATAGATAAAATGCAGACTGTCTCCTTTACAACAAAGATTCCCAACCCTTTTCATGTGTCGACCCTTTTAAAGGGACTGCTTTCATCATCAGTGGCCTTACAGTTTTCTCTGTACTCAGCATGCTACATAATAATACATACATACAGTATAATAATACATACATACAGTTGCACATAAATAACAGAATATAAAAAATGTTTTTACTTGTTTATTAGGTTTATGTTTTTTTAATTCTTTTGAAATATTATTTTAAAGATTACAAATAAAAACAAGTTACAGAAACAAAGTCACAGAATTTAATTACCTGAAAGTTAATTTTATGAATATAATGGCTGCATTTGATATACGGATACAATTGGCCCTTGAAAAGTGTTTGCAGAGGTGGGAGATTAATAGTTATCTATCTGGGGTAGAGTCGACTTTAAGGTACCTCTTGTATTATGGCGAAGTTGTTGTTTGATTTATTGCCAAATTGTTGTTTCATTTATGGGAGCCTGAGTAGTTGAATGTTATGGAAACCCTATTGTGACGTTATCGGGTGCATAATTCTGAGAAATTTTGAATCATGGGATGTTTTGTAAGCGTTTTTGTGGTGTGTGTTAAAACCATTTAGATGGATTTGAGTGGGTTTTTACAGTAGGAAGACAGGTTCAGATGGTCACTGTGTGAAGCATTCTATCAGAAAGAGGGTTTAATCCTAGTATCCGGTGCAGACGCAATTTGGCGACTTTATGATGAGCAGTACAAACGGGACATATACGATGAGTAGTAAACGGGTCATTCAAAGAATATATACATAGTATATACTATGTATATAGTATATAGTGTATGTACTACAGTCAAAAGTCGTTAATCCGGACTCGTCGGGACTTCAGCGATTCCGGATTATCAATTTTTCCGGATTATAGATCATCAGTTTAAATCTCGTAAGATGGCATGCAGAAATTCTAAAATTAAAAATATGAAACAGTAATTTATGAAATAAAAAACAATTATGATCTAAAGGTTATCAAAATTTACAAAAAAAAAAAAGCTTAATATTTATTTGCTTACTTTATTAAACATTTCTTTCAATGTAAGTTGTTTAAGTTGCTTCGTTTTATGTGGTAATACTTTCTCTTTAATTTTATAAACAGACATAATTTCTTGTTCAGTTACAAAGTTCTGCTGTTCAAGTCCCGTAATTGCTGTGCCGAGAATACCGACTAACTTGTCAATCGAAATTTTTTCGTTTTCACTAACCTCTCTGTCACCTTCTTCATGTCTTTATCCATTTTTTTGCAGCAATTCCACTTTTTGTTTGATGGATATCGAAACATACTTTCGTTTTGTAGATCCTTTGGGAGCTCCAGCATCAGAAATTCTATTTGACATAATCGAAAGTTCAAGTTTACTTTTATAAAATTGCTCTTACAGTCTGCAAAAAAAAATAAGCCGGATCCAATTCGAAGATTAAGGAACAACGCAATCATCAACATTAACTGAAATAGATAATTAGATAATTTTAGCTTATACCGTCCGTTATACATAAAATGTGCACGCGAAAATGTATTCTGCACTTGCGCACACGCATATGCGCAGTCGTAAAGGTCTTACGCGCACGCGTATACGCCTATGCGCATGAGTCAACACGGCGCATGCGCAGAATGTTTTTAGCTTTGAGGTCCGGATTATGGGTGTCCGAATTAACGACTTTTGACTGTATATACTATGTATATAGTGTATAGTATATACGTAGATATTCTTTGAGTCATTTTTGGTGTTGGTGATAATTTTCAAAATCGCGCCAAGGCTGCACCATAAACTAGGATTTTACCAGAAAGAGTACCTGGTTTGAAAAAAGTCATTTGAGTATTATTGATATTTTGATTTTTACGGGGCTCTGGGTGTACGAAGCAAATTCGAAAATCATGGTAAGTGAATATTTGCTTTTGGTAGTGCTAAATGTATAACTTGTTTTCCCTTTTTTATGTTATTTTATTGTTTGGTTTAAAATGTATTTTATTGAGATTATGTATTTTTTGTTTGCCTATATTGTAGACTTTGGTGCTCCTTTGACTTTTTAAGTGAAAATATATTGATGTGTGCATGGATAAAGTAAAGGGAGTGCGCAATGGCAGTTTGTGCCATTCTGGGATTTCTTTTTAAGTGAAAATAGGTCGACGTGTACAGTGGATAAAGTTAAAAGAGTGCGCAATGCCATTTTTGTGCAATTCGGGGATTTTTTTGTCAGTGAAAATAAATCGACATGTACATGGATAAAATCAAAGGAGTGTGCAATGCCATTTTTGTGCAATTCGGTTGGGGGGGGTAAGTGAAAATAAGTCAATGTGTACATGGATACTGAGTTTGTGCAATTGTTTGTCTTGTTATTTTGGCTTTGGGTAGCGGCGATTTTTGTAAAAATCGCCGCCTACACAAAGCCTTCGCAAGCCAAAATAATGAGTCAAAGCATTGCACAAAATCGGTATCCATGTACCGCCCTAAATATACTTTTACCTCTATCTGACCTCTATCTGACGATAGGTGAACCCAAGATATTCTTATTTAAAGTGGGGTGTTGTTAAAAGTTGGTTTTCTTTTGCTGGTATAGCAGTGGGAAGAGAAAAATAATTAGATTTGAAAGATATTAAGTTAACATCACAAATACCACTCTTTGTTGACTAATTTGATACAGTTTTTTTTAACTATTATTATAGCTGCATTATCAAAATTAAAATTTGAATTTTTGGTGATGTTGGAAAGAACTTCAGCTGTTGCAGGATCTACAAAGCGAAAGCATACTTACCTTTGGCATGCCTTGTTGTTCAGAACATGCCAACAAGGCATAAAACAAGGCAGAAAAAGTCCAATTTTGTGTCAAAATACCTATATTAGAACAATGCTGTATATACATCTAATACGTATCTTCGCGCTTTTGAGACATGAAAAACGCAAGTTGAATTTCATCAATAGGCCCACTAGAATGGGAGATATTGAACTTTCTTTTTTTTTTTTTTTTTTTTTTCCTTGCAGCAGTGTACAATAGTTTGTGTGTTAAACAATGAATCCTGTATTTGACGCATATGGCCTTTAGAGTTTTGTGCCAGAAATGCATTACTACCACCATCTTTATTGGTTGAATATACGTACATTTGTTAACGTAAACGTATTTTCAACATTTCTCACTTATTTTTCAGTTATGGTTTTATTTCATGCAATTTTCTTAAATGATATGCCATGTATCACAATATAGGTTAAGGTTTTGTGACATTGACATTCATGGTGATGCCATGTGCAAATTAACACAGTGTGGCATTTATATGGTTGTGGCGTTTCTGTGCAATTTTAGTTTTTTTTTGCACTGTTTACCTTGAGTGTTGCAATCATGCTGTAGTGGCCTTTCTTCCAGACATTGCAGTGACTTTAATTGTACTGAATTCTGGTAATAAAATCATTCTGATACAGTTATCTTTATTTTATGCTCCATTGAGAGATTGAGGAAAAAATGCCCCTCGCAGATAACGGATATCTGTATATTCTTTAAACTGTTTAAATCTAGAAATACCTTTAAAAGTCAGAGCTGAAAACTTTTTCAGGATTTAGTAATAATGTATATTATTATTTTGTACTTCAAGATCTATGCAAAATGTTTTTCTACATATAAAAACCATTATCATATCCTTCATTTTTGTTTTAACTGAAAAATGTAATTTAAAAAAAATTTTTGTGTATTTTTCTACAAATTACTGAAATTTTATTTGCTTAAAAATGTGGGATTTTATTTAGGTTCCTATACATAGGTCATCAAAATATTTAACTAGCCGGCAGTATTCTACAGTTTTCCATTCAAGAGGTTTAAATAGTATCGATTGTGCTTTAAGACCTGTTTCATCATCGTTAAATTTTGTTTCATACCTGTCAACAAATGGACAAGATGAAAAACTTACAGTAAGTTAGAAATTTATTGATTGTATACTTCATTATTTTAAATATAATGTATAAGTTTATATATAAGTTTGTTCTGGTACTTAAATTATGGAAGATTATTTAAAAAATAAAATTTACTATTGTTTTATTTGAATTTAAGACTATTTTGCAAGAAAAATATTTTAAAACTTCAGTGGCATCTTTTTATTTGTTTATTTATTTTATTAATAAAGCCTTTTAAACTTTGATACATATAATGATTATCTCAGTTTTCCTAAGATGATTTGATTTGTAGAAAACTTTCTTTATATCACAAATATTAACCAGATTTTTAAGTTCCATTAAAATCTGAGATATTATAAAAATCAAATTTGGTCCACTTTGTAGGCAGTTGTTAAGAGAGTTTAATTTCATTGAAACTAACTGAAATTTTGAACTGAAAATAGGTCTGATCTTCTTTGTAGTCAAACTAGTATATTCAATAACTATGAAAAAAAAAATAATATCTGTAGTTACTTTCTTCATTTTTCAAATTTTTTCTATAATGTTCAATTCAACCATTCTTGAAAAATCTTATTATATTCTTCATACTTATACACTTTCATGCAGATAGTGAACCTATGAAGAATCCTTTCTTAACTTCTTTTTTACTCATTAACTGAAATTACCTCCCTTGGAAAAATGTTATAGAATTCTATACAAGTTTTCTTTCAATCCAACTTCTAAAGGCTCCATATATAGAATCCTATATAATATGTATCAAAACAGTGGGCTGAATTGTACTGAAAATAACACCCCCAGTTTTTATAGATCAGGCCATTATTTTGAAGCACTCTAAATAAGTTCCTTTGTTTTAAATTTTCTATAAAAGATCTAGTGGTTTTGAATATTTAAAAGGACTATAAACCGAAAAATTTTGTTTTGAGAGTGAATTAAATTTTCATTTCTGAGTAGAATTTTTTAACTTAAATTTTGTAACAATACATAAAATGGGGGAGATAAAAGCTTTGGAACAGATGTAAAGTCCCCCCTCCCATAAAAAATGTCAATGTTATTTTGATTAAAAAAAATATTTAAATAAAAATAAATTCATTTGAAATGATAATTAGTAATACATTAACAATGATACATTTTTAAATGATAATTAAGTTTAATTGCAGTTAAGGAACCATTTGTCATATTGGGTGCTGTAGAGTCATTAGTTTTTTTTTTTTTTTTTTTCGAACGGGAGATGTTAAAATTGTACGTTGCCCTTCTGTGACTTGAACCTGGATTTCTCAAATACGTGCCGATTGTGCTACCATTACACCACAAAGGCATGTTAGAAGGAGGGAGAAAATACCTTATGTACTTCCCCTTTTAAATAATGACTGGGGATTTGGGTTGCAAATCCTGGTGGTGACGAATTGTTGTCCACCATTTGTTAAAGCATTATTGTAGAGCCATTCATTTATTTTGAAGTAAGAGACATCAAAAATAAGCAATACTGTCACTGGGACTCAAACCTGGACCTCTCAAATATGATTCGAGTGTGCTACCATTACACTATGAAGGCATGCCGGAAGGAGGGAGAAAATACCTTATAAGTGCATGTACAATAATGAGAGCATCAATTTCAGGAATTAAAATTTTATAATTAAAAGCATAATCTTTTTATGAATTAAATTGATTGCATACTTTTAAAAGATTTAATTTTTGTATAAGCAAAATTGTATAAAGAGTTGATCTGTTGAGGAATTTGACAGTTTTAAAATAGAAGAACAAGGTCTAGCAAAAACATTAAAAGCCTTAAAAAGCAGAAACAAAGCTGAAGAATCCATTTCTAGGCATAAAATAGAGACATGATTTGATTGTGACAAAAATTTACTTGTAACAGAAATGCTAACAGAAGAGGGTTCGATTCAAAATGCATTGTTACAGGAAGAAACAAATTCTGATTCATCAGAATCTGAAGATGAAACAGGAACAAAAATATTTCCTGGGATGATGCAGAGAAAGGTCTTTTGCAATTTTGTGAGAAAATTTCTATAAACACCAAAGAATTTTTGGAACTGCATCTCATTTAAAGTTTTGAAAAAAAACTTTCACTGAAACGGACAGACATTCATGATGTATTTAATCGAATGTCTATGGCATCAGAACAGAGATAATATATTAAAAATTTAAGAATTCTATTTATTCTGGAAAAGTATAAAACAAAAGTACTTCTCAGTTCTGTTAAGTTCACTTCATCTTTGACCATTTTTGACAAAGCAGAACTGTAACCAAATCGTGCAATATATGTATAAGCATAATGTCACAACACTATAATGCAATCTTTGCCTTAGTTTTATGTAAACTGGATTAATTCTAAATAAGTGGGGTAAGTTTCTGTAAAGAAGATATAAGTTAACTGCTATTTATTGTTTTTTCTCGCAATTTGAAAAAAAAAAAAAAAAAAAGGTTAAGATTTGGGAGTATTTTCAAAGTTAGGGGTGATAATGAAAATGTGTTTTTATGGACTCTACATGCCACTTTATTTGAAAATGAATAAACAATGGTGATGCAAAGTGATGATATGCGATTTAAGTTTTTTATGTGCTATATCTGTAACTTGAATCACATGATTCTAATTCAGTAAAGAATTATCTATTACCATTAAGCTTCTATTGGAATGTTTGGCAGAAGTTTGGTGGCATCTCTACCAATTTTCATAGTCAATAACATTTTATAATCAAATAAGATATTTTAATTTCATATGCTAAAGGCCTCTAAAATATGTGAAATTTCATGCACAAAATGGAGTTTTCTCCCCAAAATCATACATAATTTTATTTGTAGGTTTTGATACTCAAGCCAATAATAAATTAGATGACAGTTCTTATAATTTTAGACCTGAAATTGCTTTCTCCATTCACATGGCTTTTCTACCATGAACTGCAATTTTTATTAGCTCAACTGTCTGGAAATTTCATGTCCAGAATTCAGCACTTCCTGAGCATTCCGGATAATCAAGCTTTTACTGTATTTCTATTTGAATTGGCAAAATAATTTTTTTTCTTGAATTCTGTTCCCTGAAAAGTTTTACAGAATTTCTATAGATTTTTATAGAGAAGCATTTTAGTAGAGGGTTACCTATAAAGTTATAGTATAAGAGTTGCTCTATCAGCCACTATAAAATTGTCTCATTGGGTCTTTCTTGAAAGGTAGCAAAATTTCATATTTTCTTTTTGCACTAATCTTTGCAGGTTTCGCAAAGAATGTGAATACTTGATCTTTTGTATTTACCTTTTTTTTCATAGCTTCTGGATCTTTAATTCTTATGCTCTCCAGTTTCTATAAATCTGCTGTATCAATAACATTCAAGCATGCAGCTGTATGTATTGTGAAGCTGTTAAGTCTAACCTAATTTAATTTGTAAAACAGTCAAACCATTTTCTAAATTTATGATGACATCAGTCATTAGTTAGTCTATTATATCAGCACTTAATAATACTGTTACTTCAAGAATATCACATCCTGATTCATCATCCTTGATCTGAAGGATTCCTGGATAAAAATATATGTTTCTTGTCGAGAAAGAGAGTTACACTTTTCTTGATACATTATACTCAAATGTTTCATGAATACTTTTTAAAAATAACTTTATTGTTTGTTCTGTTTTTACCCCACCCCCCTCCAAAGAGATGATGCATTACTTTTTCTTTCCCTAGGTTTTTCCTAAATCAAATTTATTGTCACACTTTTATTGAAGACTTTTGTGATATAAGACTGTAATGATATATGTTTCATATAAGACTTTATATAAGATTCTAATGAACCATAGATAATGAAAATTTTCTGTAGCTGAGAATTTTCATTGCTAACTCTTGTAATACTGTTTCATTTGTAAGTGACATTAAAATTTCTGTTTCATTTTGTTTTGAAATTTTTCTATATCGTGATTTTTAGGGTTGCTTTAATTTTGTATACATAGTGTGAAGGTACTTACAAACAAGGAACATTTGATTTGAGCATTGCATCTTTCAGAAATATGTCCACCTTTAAATGAAGAAAAACAAGTTCCTTTCTTTTTCAATAAAATTTCCTTTTTTTTTTTTTTTTTTCACATAAAAATTTTGTACCTTATAACACTGTGTAAAAGAATGTGATTGTTTCTAACACCACACTCAACATTTCTCTTTTTCTTCACTAGAATAACAATACAGAAAATTTCTGCTTATCATCATTCTACTACAGTTGTGAAAATTAGTAAACTTCTTAAATTTTGGCTTTTAATTTGGAATTTAAATATTCAACTTTTGGTTTTATTTATGAAAGGCTCTTGAAGTTATAATTGTTCTATTTATTTATCCCTTAACAAATCTGGTGATTCTTTTAAGACAGTTTCTATTTTAATTAAGCATTTATTGTAGTAATCACCACATGCATTGCAGAGCACTATTATTTTCACTTTATCCAAAATTTTTGTGACGTTAAATTTATTATTGTGGGAAAAGAATAAATTATTATTATTATTATCTTTGAGTTTCCATGAATTTCACATAGATGTCCACAATCTATCTTAAATTCATGGACACTTTGAATGTCCACAATTTATGCCTTGTTAGTTTATTTTCAGTTTGAATATCTTGTATACTACTATGCTCTTTTATACATAAAAATGCTTATGCTTTCTATCACAGTTAGCCAGAATATAAAAAGAGAAGTTTAAATGCTATTTAATTCCTATGTGATGAAAAAAGTGGTTAGTAAATGCAATAAAACAGTTATTGTGCAAAGAATACTACTATTACACTACAGTAAATGTTCCATGATAGAAAAGGAAAGTAAACATAATAAGCTGTTGCCAGTTCATAAAAGTTAAAAGTGCTACTTTGGTAGACGGTTGCACGGATTTTGGCGATTTTTCTTTTGGCGAGTAATATGACTTATGGTAAACCCACTGCTGGATAAGTAATTTATGGTTACCCATACTTTGTTGTCATTTTCTTTAAAAAATAATGTGTTTTATTATGCAGAAATTCCGTATTTAAATATTATTTATGGCTTCTAAATATTAAAAATCAATTTAATTTTTCATTTTTATTTGAAAAAAAAATTTGTTCTTTATAATATTTTATTATGAATGATTATTTAAATAATTTTAATTCTATGCGTGCTGTAATCAGCTCCCTGATTGGTTACTGAATATTTGTGCATTACCGCACCATTTTAAAATTTTATTATTCATCTCTTCGAATTCCTCAGATTTCAAATAGAATGGATATGTCCATTTCGAAGATGAATGTTATTATTGGTAATTACCAAGAATTACAGTTATCGGAATAAAAAATTTGCCCTTTGAGACCTTACTTTGGCCAACCTGTCTTTCCTAATCAAAGATTTATTTATAAATTGTTAATAGCATCAGAGGTAATTTATTTACAATTTTTGGAGAAAACCTCGCTCATTGCTTCTTTAGTTAAGTGCGAGAGATGTGGATCACAGATGAAGATCGTTAAAAGACTTTTGTTGTTGTTGTTGTTGTTGTACTTATCAATATACGACAGGTAAAATACTTTAAAAAAATGTAAGTACGTAATTTTCTTTTACTTTATAATTGTATACTTCAATTTTTATTAAAAAATTAATACAATGTTTTCAAAAATTGATGAGATATTTATTGTCACATAAGTTTTAATGTTAAATAATTAAATCCTATAAAACTTATTTTAAATTATTTAAGTAATATTTTAATTCTTTTAACGTTGGTATGATGTTTTTAATTCGATATTCAATTTAAGTAATATTTTAATCCAATTAAATGTTGGCGCAATGTTTTTATAGCGGTGTTTTTATTCTATTATATGAAAGTAATAATTCAACCTCACTTTAGCATTTTATACTCTTAGTAAATGTATTTATTTACATTTGCCAGCCATCTTAAAAAACAATGTTTTCAACAAAAAATAAATCCATTATTTTTAACGATATTTATTTTTTTTTTAAGTTTCCAATACTTTACTGTATGCGTAAAATACGTAAAAACAGCCTTTTTCAAGATGGCTGATGATTGTAAAAACCACACCAACAATTGCACCAATGTAAATCGCCAAAAACCCGTGCAACCGTCTACCAAAGTAGCACCAAGTTAAATTACAGTTCAAATCTAAGTGTTCTTTACAATCAGTATTGATCTGCTCTCTATGTACTTTAAGAAACGTAACTGTTTAAAAGAACAATTATCTATCCTTTTCCGAAATGCAGGTATGAATAATTGATCATTTTAGTAAATAAGGCACATAATTGCATATATGATACTGTTATGGTTATAGCGAAGCTACAACATAGTTTTAATCTAATTAAACTCTAATAAAGTTGTGGAGTATAGCATCTTTAACTTCCATTACACAAAAGTAAAATGGAAGCAATGCATTTTTCATAGCTGTTAAAAAACTTATCATATTGGTCTTCTTTTCTAAGATGCTACTAATTATAGGCTGATTGCTTAATATTAGTACCACCAGGGAAAGAAACTGGTTTTAAGGAAGTAGAGCAAATTTGTTAAATAAAATATTATTCAACAACAATTTTGGTGGAGATGTTGGAATATGTTGAGGGAAACTTCAAAAATAGATTGCATCAGTACAGAGAAAATGGTGGCTCATGTCTAAACCTAAAATTTATGATCAGCCATCAGCTGTGCCATAGACATTATTCTAAGTTAATGTATATGCTTGTAAAATATTTAAATTGTATTGAAATATTTTTATCTCTAATGTTTATTCATTTTTGTTGGATCTAGGTTGTCATTACTAATCCTTCTCATGGACATACCATCAAGTCAGATATTCCAGCAAATTCGAGCCCTTCAATACTCGACGAAGTAAAAAGTTCAGGTTTAGAATCATCTGCAAACATCTCTGATCTAGGTGTGACATTAACTGATGAGCTTCAAGGTGTTGCAGAAGTGGTTGAACCAACTTTAGCCAGTTTAGGCCTTGCACATTGGACACCAGTGGGTTTAATTCAAATGCTTTTAGAGTACTTACATGTGGGGATGCATATGCCATGGTGGATGGCAATTGCACTGTGTAAGCATTTTTTGTGTTTATATTAGTAATAATGTTATATGTAGTAAATTGCTTATAATCCATGCCTAGTTTTGAATGTAAAACAAACAATTTTTTAAGATTTTCCGAAAATTCAGCATAGCAAATGTAAAGGTAATTTTTAATATGTATATGGAAATTAACTTTTTTTAACAAAAATATATTGTACTGTATTTTGATCACAATTAATTAATGAAATTATTTAGCATTATATTTAGAAATTATTTGTTGTGCCTACTTTATAGATACTTATATAGTTAAATCCCTACTTTTTCAGATAGTACTTCTTTTAATATTATTATATATTATAATTAATTGCATATATCATTAATTGTATTAATTATTATTATATAACAATTATTGCTATTATTATTGTCTACATAATTATAGGTACAATATCTTTTAATAATACTGCATATTAGTATTTTTTAATATTTGAATTTATGTGATTAATTAATTTAGTACTTCTCTGTTAACTTAGGTTCTCTGTTAACTCTTTGTTAACCCAAATTTTGACACCAGGTCTAACTAGATAATCCTAATAATGCATAATGCTTCATGAAAATAATAGCTGGTATTTTTACATTATCCTTCCAGCACTCCCACAAAGTGACTAGTCATTAGCAACTACTTTTCTCCAAACTAATAAGTGAAAAATAGCAGCTATTTTTTTTAAATGATGGTGACTTGAAAATTGCATAACATAGGAATGAATTAACAAAATGAAAAATGAAAAAAACATCCATAATGAAACAGTAAAAATTAGGTAAAACAAATATTCATAATGAAATCTTCAAAATTTCACAGAAAAGTAACAAATGAACTAAATTAGAACCGCGATAAACATTCACAATAAAGCACTTAGCTTTCCATTTTCTTGATTTATGTGCATCACGACCTGTTTTAACCTTTAAAAAAAATAAATAAATAAATAAAAATCAGACAGTTGCAGAATTCTTAGCATTATAGAGCAAAGTGGCATTGCACTTCATGTACACATTGACCTGTTTTAACTGGGAAAAAATCAGAAAAACCAATTTTTTGACATTTTTCTTTGTTCATACTAGACATGCATACATCTCACAGATAGTCAATAATTATATTAATTATTATTATTAGTTAATAAGTATATTCAGAGACATATCAAGATAAGAAGAACTGTAAGAATGACAAACTTAACAGATGTGTGTTCTTTAGACTTAACGTAAAAGATATTCAGCTATACTTTAACCAATTTCCTATTCACGTTCAAACACTTTACTGGCAGTCTTTAACATTTTGATACAGTTTGATCATCTGTGGGATATGATGTTTCAAGACATTTCTGTGCTCTGATTGGAAGTGCTTGTATTGTTAGTCAAAATGCTTAGAACATTTGAACTGATGGGAATGATCATTAATGTATATAGCGCAAGATAATTACCGTACCAACACGAAACAGCATTTTATTAACGAAATTCAACATTTTACTTAATTTCTGCATACAGCAGTGGCCATGAAAATGTTCTCAAATACTTTACACTGCTTATTGTACAGATTTCAAGCATCATGTAAGTTCTACAAAATTCAAGCATCAAACTATTTTTATATTTTTCTCGATACGCAGCATAAGCATCATCTCAAGGCAGAACATATTCTACCCCGATGATCAGGTAGTTTATTAAAACGTTAATATCAAAACCTTCAATTTTAGATTTAAACAAGTTTTTCAAAAAGCATTCACCAATGAAACTATATATCACTCAATGGTAATAGGGAAAGTGTATGTATAGGATGCTTCATTTCGCCCAATAAAGTTTTTAGTTTCACTACAGAAATGTTTCCATCGACACCCAGATGTAGTTCAATTATTCATCCAAAGTGCCACCTTAATGGAGGCAATTTGTCATCTTTTATTAAGACTGAGTTATTGAGGATTAAATTTGGTTTATCTCTCAACCATTTGGTACAGCCTTGAAACTGAGAAGTATAATCATTAGACCAACGTTTCCAGAAGCTCTGAAAATTGGCTGGATCAATTTCTGTCTTTGTTGAATTTCTGTCTTTGTTATTATTAGTAAGATCAGGTTTAGGAATTGCTGTCAATGCAGACCCAGTTGGGAAATGCCCAAGTGTTAAAAGACTAAAATCTTCAGGGTCAGGTGAGATGGAAACTACTGGCCTGGAATTAAAACACACCTCCATTTGTGTAACTAGGGTGTGAAACTTTTCATGTACTGAAACCTGTGTTCCAATAGTCTGCTTTAAGTGAATCTTCATGTCTTCACACCATGCAGCAGGAGGATTGAAGGTCCAGTGAATATTTTGATCGGTTAAGTAGTTTATAAATGTTTTAACACAAATCTTTTCAGAGACACTAGATTGCCTTTGTAATAAAGCATATGTAAAAGCAAACGTAGTATGTATATGTCGTTCCCTTTCTTCCCTTTCTAGCTTTAATCAGGAAAGGTCCTGCAAAATCCAGTCCTATAGTTTGATTTTATATAACACTGTACATTTCCAAAATATTTTTCTTACAATTTCTTGGTCATTAACAATCCAATATTTTTGTTATAGAGCTGATAATGTTAATGTGGTTCCTCCTTGGAGGTTCACTTCAGAAAGTATCTGACTATCAATTCAGTAACCGGTTTTTTTTGGGGGGGGGAAGAATGATTTAATACTTTCTGTTTTCCGAAAGATTCGAATTGCTTAGTCAACCGCTGACTCTAAGAATTTCTTCTCTTTCGAGGAAAAAATTTAATTTTAGGATTTTTCCTTGAGATTCAATTTCTTCCCTCCTTTCAAAAGTTACATTTATTCTTTAAATTCAGAATTTTGTGTAATATTAAAAATGAAATTGCTTGCTTTATCCAGCTTTTGAATTGTTAAAAACCTCTTGAATTTTAAAGATGTAGGTTTAGGATGTAGGTTGCAGAACCTTAAACATAGTGCAGTTTGAGTCTTCGCCAGAATGCCTGAAGATCAATTCAAATTCAGTCTCTTCATACTGTTCTACCAATACCTCTTCTACTATAGCTCAATCAAAAGATGATGAAGGTAGATTTTTTTATTTCAGCCATACTGGGCCATAGAACCAAATTTTATTCCCCACTTGGTCAGAGGATGTTAATATCTACATGAGACTATGTCATCGGCATTTTTGTTTCCCTTACTGTATTTTCATTATGAAAGTGGTACAAAATCTTGTACTTTCTGTATGCAATTCACAACAAAGGGGTTCTATTTATTAGCTGTTCCTGTGCTCCAGTGAAGAAGGATTTGAGAGTCACTAAAACAAAATATATTATCTTCTTGAATGCCAAACAATTTCTTTAAATATTTAATGATTCTTGCAGCAATACAGCTCCCATAAGCTTGAAACGAGGCAAGATTAATTGTTTAAGTGGGAATACATTGCTCTTTGAAAATACAAAAGACTGAGCAAGAATCACAATCACAAAAATATGCAACAGCTGCATATCCCTTGAGACTGGCTTTGCAAAGCACATAAAGCTCTATTCTATCAAAATTTACACATTTATCATTTAACATATTTTTTCTAGCAATGCACAAGTTGAAAATAACTTCAAAGTACCAAGTTTTAAATTTTTCATTCAAGTCGCTGGGGCAAAATTTGTGTCCCAACCAATAAGGAATTCCCATAACTCTTATAATAAGAATTTTATTCGGATAACAAAAGGTACAATGAACCCAACTGTGTCATAAATTTTAGCCACAATCTGTAATACCTTTTGTTTTGTGACATGTGTAAAAGCTGTTGTACATTTAATTTCAGTGTGTCATCGCCAGAGTCCCAAATTATTCCCAGCATCTTTAACATTTTTGTATGCAATCTATCTTCCTTTCTAATTATGCGAATTATTTTTTAAAGATACAGAATTCAATTCATTGAATTTATGAATTATCATAAATGTAGATTAGAGTCCAATATAATTAAAAGCACAAAACATTTTATTAATGAAATTCAACATGTTTTATTTAATTTCTGCATATAGCAGTGGCTATGAAAATCTTATAAAATATTTTGCACTTCTTCATTCCACTAATTTCAACCATTAATGTATTTTTATATTTTTTCTTCGCACGCGATGAGAGCACCACCTATCTGCCAAAGGCAGAAGAGTCTGATTCGTGAGAATTCCAAAATGACGCCCATTTTTGGCTGTCACAGTACACAGACAACTACAGTCAAAAGTCGTTAATCCGGACTCGTCGGGACTTCGACGATTCCGGATTATCGATTTTTCCGGATTATAGATCAGTTTAAATCTGGTAAGATGGCATGCAGAAATTATAAAATTAAAAATTGAAACCGTAATTTATGAAATAAAGAACAATTATGATCTAAAGGGTATCAAAATTTACAAAAAAAAAAGCTTATATTTGTTTGTTACTTTATTAAACATTTCTTTCATGCAAGTGTTTAAGTTTATTTCGTTTTTTATGTGATAATACATTTCTTTAATTCTTAAACACATAATTTCTTGTCAGTTAGAAAGTTCTGCTGTTCAAGTCCGATAATTGCTGTGTCGAGAATTACCGACTAATTTGTCAATCGAAATTTTTCGTTTTCAATAACCTCTGTTATTTCTTTGCTATCGGAAGCGAATTATAATGACAAGGAATTTGATTTAAATCATATCAAAGATGGAGTACATCGAGATGAAATACTACATCTAATAAGGAATTATAAGCCAAATAAAATAAAAACATCTGCTTGAAAATAAGGATAGTGCTGACAGATCAACTTCCAATTCATTGCGCAGCGACGCAGCGTTAAAGATGAACAAAGTTTAGATAAACAAACGTTAAAGTTTATATAAACAAAGGATATGCCTTTATCCATTTTTTGTAGCAATTCCACTTTTCGTTTAATGAACTTCGAAAAATACTTTCGCTTTGTAGATCATTTACATATTAATAAATATATATCAGAAATTCTATTTGACATAATCGAAAGTTCAAGCTTGCTTTTATAA